CAGGCAGGAACCAACTACAGATCTTCCAGGTGAGCCTCCCATACTCTCACTGCCCATTTCCACGGCATCATCATACAAGCAACTTAAACAGATTAATCCAGGGCACTCTACTATTTAGCTCTAGTGTATCTACCCCATGGACTGTTAAAGTTTCCTTGCCTACACGAGGCATTTGATAAAATAGCCATGCTTAATTTTTTCTCTGTACAGAAAAACAGATAACACCACAGCACTTCACTTTAAACTGCCCTAGAACCCTTCCCATGCTACATAGATGTCTCTCCCCTTCTAAATCCAGTTGACTTCATCAGCCCCCCAAAACAACAATTGTGCGTGATTCAGTCTAGGAGCTTTCCTATTGCAGCCACATATTCAGGGAAGTTTTGGGTAGAAGTCACGTTTCCAAACCAGTCCAGAGGGATAGAGAGGAATATTTGTAATCTTTATATGCCCTGTAACAGCAGTGCCTTTCGCTAGAAGACCTAGCCATTATCTATCTTCCTGGTTTACTAAGCTGTCATTTATATACTTGCACATTACATACCAACCACATTTGAAAACCTCATGGAAAAATAAGAGAAGTCAAAACACCTTATGAAATTTCACCCACTTGCCACAAAGACAAACTGAAAGTTCTCAGACAAAGAATTACTGAGCTCCAGAGGAAAAAAACACATCGCTGAGTTCACTATTAATTGCATTTTCAATAAGACCCTCATGTCTATCTAACAATGTTTTTAGCTGCCGTAAAAAAATATGTTCTGCAATTGCGAAGAGTTCTCAAGGAAAGTATCCATTGCCACGTCCTTCAGCAGTTTTAAGAATGAAACTGTATTACCAAGAAACAGTTTTTGTTCTTTGCCACAGCCGTTTAATCATTTTCTCTTGGTACGGCTACTTCTTAACCAATTAGCTCTTTCTCATGGAGTCACTATTACCCACTGTAATGCTTCTTCTGGAGAAGTCTGGATACAATCCTCGGCATAGCATTTTTTACTCTTGTGGACCTCCTACAGCAAGGACTTTCATCATTCTGAGTTCAAATTTCTCATGGAGAAAGTCTTTGTATTTGCTCAGACAGCTGTTCTCTTTTAAGATTTTGTCTTGGGATTACACTGACCAATGGTGCAAAGCGAGTTCTTGAGTGAGGAGCACCTTCTGGTAGAGATGAAGGCTGAATCTATATGAACACAGTCACCATCATTTGTTATATTGACATGAAATCTAAAAAGCCAAGAGAAAAATAAAAATTAGAGCAGAACTTTGGTCTAAAAATTAGACGACCTATTTCTTATTCTTTGTAAAACCGGGTCTCAAAGACTTCAGAGAATAAACTAGAGAATCATTTAAAATGAGCCCTACTTCTTATTTGGAGGATCAGAATTCACATGCTTGTGAAAAGCATGGTGATGCCCCTCTATTAAGGCAAGCTGCTGCTTTGATCCCCACAGAGATGTACCACATGTATTTGTACTTCACAGTCTGCAATGTGTTGTGAGCACGAAAGGCACAATTCCTCAGAGCAGGAGAGAGAGGATCCCAGTGGGACCCATGGCAGCAGCACTCTTCTTGTACGGAGTGGGACCCTGCCACCTCTTCCCACCAATTTTGCTCTGTCTCTGCAGAATGCACAGGATGTGGCTGCAAAGAAAGCCAACCTCTGGGATATTGTGGGCAAAAGCGATGCCTTCTGAGATACAACTCCCCAGCCCAGTGACCTTTCAACGTGGTCCTGAGCACCTCAATTGGTCCTCCCTTATGAGGAGCGGCTGAGGGAGCTGGGTCTCTTTAGTTTGCAGAAGAGGAGACTGAGGGGAGACCTCATTCATGTTTATAAATATTTAAAGGGTGAGTGTCACGAGGATGGAGCCAGGCTCTTCTCGGTGACAAACAATGATAGGACGAGGGGTAATGGACACAAGCTGGAACACAGGAGGTTCCACTTAAATTTGAGAAGAAAATACTTCTCAGTGAGGGTGACAGAGCACTGGAACAGGCTGCCCAGGGAGGTTGTGGAGTCTCCTTCTCTGGAGACATTCAAAACCCGCCTGGACGCCTTCCTGTGTAACCTCATCTAGGTGTTCCTGCTCCGGCAGGGGGATTGGACTAGATGATCTTTTGAGGTCCCTTCCAATCCCTAACGTTCTGTGATTCTGTGATTCTTAGGAGTCCCTGTCTATACTGGCTGAGTGTTGAACCCTGTGAGACCAACAGGGCAAGCTAATTCAAACAATTTATAATGTCTAATATTGGTAATTTTTCCTAATAAGGCAAATGTTCTCTCATATAGTGGGACTGTACAGAAACAAGTTACTCTAGGCACACCCTAATAGTGGCTACACAATCACATCAAAAAGCAGGCAATGATGACCCTTCCTTACTACTCTGGGGACATAACTAGTTTTATTAGCATAGTATTAGCATTTTTACAGCCATATGACAGCCCTCATTTGGTAAAATACACCCGTTTATCTACAGTGGAATAGGTAACACAGAGTAACTTTTCTATTTGGACAAAAAAGCTCCTGACTCTCCTCTCACATAGTGTATTTGAAAGAAAACTCACAAGTTCACGTCAAATGGCTCTCCATTCACCCAGAAAAACTTGTTTCCTTTCCTGCGCAGCCCAATCCAGAAGTCTGTTATGCGTATTCGATGCATTATAAAGTTCTAGACAAAACAGAATAAAATTACATATAGCTATTCCATTTTTTATGATTATGATTCTATAGCTTTTTGTATTAAATCTGCATTGATCTAAACCCCATCACAGAATAGACAATGGTGGACTACCTTTTCCCCACAGGTCACTGATATTTTACTGCTAAATTTAATTAGATTGAATACTAGAAGAAGTCCTAGATCCATTACTAATAGTGAGGTCCCAGCTATTTAGCTGGTAGTGATGCAGAGTGTTACTCACCATCCCTGTCCCACCTCATCATTAGAAACATCAACATATACTATTAGACATACCGTATCACATTATACACTAGCACAATGGTTTCACTGTATCACCAGGAGAATGACATTCAGTACAAGGACATGTATTATGGAGGGACACAGTGTCTGACTCAGCACAGGTTGCCTTGACTGTATTGAAACAATACATTAATTCCTTGGATGTCAGTTACATTGTGTCTCTATCAAGTTCAAGTCACACATTTAAAATCTCCCAATTTCCCAGTTTTCACACTTACTCTTGACAAAATCATATCGCAAGTGTGTGAGTTCCTGTTCCTTATATTTCTGACCAGTTGAGTGCAGTCCTACTCAGCTGGGACTACCTAAACCCAAACTCCAAGAGCACATTCATAGTTTACCATCTGCAGTATGAATAAAATAAAGACTTTCTCAGTTCTTTCCTTATGATCCTATAATGGTCTCTGAAAACACATTTGCTACAGTGCTATTTTCTTTTCTTTTTCTCAGCCATACAGAACACTGGTAGGACACTACAGGAGATTTAAGGAACATAGCAAAAGGAAAAATGGTTTGAAAACAACAAAAAACACAGGTATGACCTACAGGATGAACCAGGTATTTTCAATACCATAGGTCCCACCGTCATATAACTACTGCCAGTCTTCGCCTTTTGTGGAAACAGAGAAATTGACTATTTTGCACAGAACTGACAACACATTTCTGTTCCTCAGTTGGCCACTAAATAATTTGTTATGCTAAAGACAGCACTCTTTGAAAGAACTGTGTCATTAAAGAGTATCAAGAAGGTAAAACACACGGCTGTGCACCAGTGGCCTTTAACCTCAGAATTAGTTTAAGATTTGCATTTATTGTGGGAATTGCTGTTGACAGCATTTTGAGTACCCTAGAGAAGGAATGAACGTCAGGATAGTGTGAGGAGAGAAGACAGGATAAACTGCCTAACTTAAAATGCACGCATAAATTACCAGTTCAAAAACACCAACCAACCTTCTTCATTAAAAATTAGTAGTCACAACTCCATTTTTATATTCTTTCAGACTTTATTTTTAATTTATACATAGTTTGCCTTTTATGTTTCTGCAATATCTTCTAAGGTAATACCAGAATTTATATAGCAGATTTTAGTGTGTTGTCATTTAGGCAGTTGTTCCTGATGGAGAGGAGAATCAGGAAGAGGAAAGGAGACCCATGGGTTGAAATAGAAACAGAATTAATAAAATAATAAAGCCCAATATTAAGAGCAATATTAATATAAAGTACACAGAGTTATACTCAGCTGATATAGTGATCACAAGCTCTGATGGTCACAAGTGGAGTAAGCCTTGGAAACAGAATGACAGGCGATTGGGGAAAGAGAAGGGCCATCCCCAGCAAACTGCCCAATTTATAGTGAGTGTGACATTATGGTGTTGGCCAAAAACTAAAACAAAGTGTCTTACCAACTTTGTTCCCATGAAATAAAGTGCTGTATTCTTTGTAGAAATGCATCTTTCCTGAACAGAAACCTGATTCTATGATTCTAGCCCAGCAAAAGCAGGACATAGTGAGCAGACCATGTCACAGTGAAGAAGTCTGTAGGTTGTACGGACTCGCAGCGAATAAGTCTGCTACACAGTATGCTGGGTTTCAAGTTATACAAGGAAACAAGTGATGGAGTTACAGAAGGTGTTAGGGCAGGAGGCATAACACCAAATTTCAAGGTGCTGGATACCTTACCAGCTCTTGAAGGTTGTCAATCACTGCAAGGGAAGCTCCATAGTTAGAGCAGGACTCTTGGCTGGAATTCCAATCTGCCATGGCTTCTGACTGATAGTAACACTTCTTCTTGTAGTACAGCCAATCATCAGGGCACGGCTCCAGATGTGGTAATTTAGGTGGATCTTTTGTTCAAAGGAAGAAATTAACAGAACGTTACTTACTCATCATTAGTTATTTAAAATACAATTGTATACACATTTACATGTTCTGGACTTGTTTCTTTTAGCTTAAAAATATTTGTGACTTGCACGGAATTAAGCAGGAGATGGGTAAACACAGTACAGTGGAAGGATTTGGCTCAGTCTTAGTTTTTTTTCCTGTTATACCAGCTATGTTGTGTCCACTAATTCCTGATTACACACTCACACGCTGTCAGCAAACAGTCTGGCATGCGCAAGTGTAAAAAGCTATGCTGGAGACACCACGGGCGAGAACATCTGGGCAGAAGGCTGTGTTTGACAGAGAGTGCACACATAGATACTAGTTATTTACTGTGAAACAGCTAAAATTTGACCCTAAACAGGTTCTAGTTCAATGTACTCAGCTGTAAAAGTAACTCGACAAGCCACAGCCAAGTCAAGAAGTCAGTACTGCCTCTGTAACTCTGTTTATGCCTTTGTCATTCCTCAGTATTTTGCTATGCTGCAGTGCAAGGAAATTGCGCTGAAAAATTGAAAAAATTAAGTCAGTTTAATGCTACTAGAAACAACTCCCTGAGGACAAGCACAACAAATTTAAGCACACAAACACAATTTAGTTTCACTTTTCTTTTTCTGGATCTAATCTCTGTGACAGTAGCCATGTCGGTGTGGGGGAGAGCGGATAACCAGCAAAAAACACCTCTGGCAACTCAGCAGCGAGGAGAGACAGCAGAACGAAAGAGAGAAGGACTGCGCTTCTCTTTCCAGAGCTAGTTATTTTTTAAATAAATGCACTCACTCAGGGTAATCCTCATTAAGAGCAAAATCGCAGCAACACCGATGACAATTCCCACAACTCCTTTCCTCTCTGAGAGAAAGAAATATTAATGCACATCAAGGAAGAAAGCACACGTAAGGAACTGAGGACTCAGGTAAAAAAAACCCAACCAAAACCAACCCAAAAACATGCAAAGACACATTAACGTCGTTAAGCTTTTCCAAACACGTTGCACCTGAAACGACCGGGTCCTGCAGAGTTTCAGTACTTTTGAAACTCGATCGGATTTTTAAAGGTCTGATTGCTAAATCTCACGGAAACCCCCGCAGAACACCATCCCGGGAAGGACTTCGTGTCCGCCGCAACGCCCGCAGTCCCCACCCCAGTCAGCTCACTGGCTTTCCGGCTCACATCATCCATCTCTCCCCACGCCCGCCGCGCACGGACACGGGCTCGCTGGCAGGCGCCGTGCCCTCCCCTTCCGTTTGACT